CGGGTTTGTGTATTGTCCCGTCAATGAAACCAATTTTCCGCTTTGCTTGAAGCGAGTTGCAGAGTTCAGTAGACCATTCGGAGTAGTTCTCACTTTTAAGCGTAACAGAAGTTATGAGAGCTCCTGGATTATCCGAAGGGTGAAGGTAATATGGAGACAAAGTATCAATAGCTGGTGTCGTCGTAGTAGTAGAAGTGCTGGTCGATGATGATGTATTGTCATCCGCCATGATAGTAGTTGTAGTAGTAGAGAAAATAAATCAAGAAAAAAAATAGGTTTAGAGTTTGTAAGATCTTAGCTCTGATACCATGAAATATTATGTGAAAGCTTGACTTTATTCATAACATACGTTCCGTATGTATACAACCTATCGAATCCAAAGATAACTATTACAAGGATATGATAAGGATAAATCTAAGTTACAATAGGAATAGGAAACTTCTTTGTAGTTATCCCTTTACATCCATTTACGATTACTTCGAGTAGTAACCTCGAAGCAGATAAGCTAAGCACTGTGATCAAGAGCGAAGGGAAATGGTCTTCCAATCTTTACTAGATGCTTTCTTCTTCCGATCGTACTCTCTCTGTTTCTGCCGAATGACCCTATTGTCCTGTTTCAACAGATTTCTTAAAGTAAATACAATTGGTTGTTCATATATACATATATGATCAGTTTTAAACTAGGTTAAAGCAGAGTGGACTAGAATTAGGGTTGGATTCTTGCAGCACAAGTGACACTGAAGAAGGCTTTATTTTTTAATTGGCTTGCAGGCACGATTCTTTGGTAATGGTTAAAGGAGGCAGTGGAATTACTCCATTCATCTCCATTATCCGTGACTTGATCGCTATGTCCAAACAACAATGACATGTGAAAGCCCCAAAATAACCCTGGTTTCCTCGTTCAAGAAGGCTTCAGATATCACCAAGCTTGACCTTATCCTCTCTTCATCCGGTCTCTAGTTATCATCTGACTTGAATATTCAAATCGAAGCCTTCATCACCAAAGATAATGAACCAAGCAAAGAAGAAACACAGAAGATCAGAACCATCTGGTTCAAACCAAGTCCCTCAGACCAACCAATCTCAGCAATCCTAGGACCAAACTCATGGCTCTGGCTCGGTGCCATCCTCTCATCTTCCTTCATAATCTTCTTTATCGTCGTTGGCTTCATGACAAGATACTACATTTACCCGATCAATCAAAACAAGAGCAAGTACAATGCTGCTTCACGATCCATCATTTATCTTTTGGTTCTATTCGTTATAACATCATAGCTGTGTCCAAACGTACGAGTGATGGTGTGTGGTCCGAAGAATATGAGACAAGAAGTGGCGAAGATATGTTCTTCTGGTTTGGCTGAGAATATTCACTCTGAATCTATCAGTTTCAGCTGATGATTACATATTTATGATATATACATAATTCTACTTTGTGTGATATTTTTCTTTTCTTTTGTGTGGTTGTTTTGTGGTATTTTCTGAAGCGTGTTGTTTCTTGTGAAAATGATTCCTAAGATCCAATATCTTTCTGTATTTAAACGTTGTATTGCCTTATGTAATAATGATTTGGTCTAAATCTACTAGTATTTTTTTGAATAGTAAAATTTGGTTTAAATAGAGGAGTTGAGTATTGTATTAACTTTTTTAAAAAAGAAATGTTTATGGACGTCCAAAGATATTACGGCGGATCTTTTCCGGAGCTCACCACCATCTCGCCTCATAGCATTACTATCTTAGTCCATCCCAAGTGGGGCACACGTGTTCGCCACTCTCTCGCCTGTCGCTCGTGATCTTATAAGGCTTTCTAGATCTCTATTACCCCATAAGTTAATCTTCTGTGCATTCTTAGTCAAACACACCCTCACGTGACCAGTTGTCTCTCCATCACGTGATAGACGTGTGCTTTTCTTTGAGTTTCATAGTAAAAGATATATACAGTTCCGTAAAAAAGAGAAAAAACACATTTATGTCATTAACAAAAAAAGAGGGGACAGTATATTCAAAACTGCAAAGCTGTTCGTGGGGGTAACATGAACTAATGTGGAAATGATTTTTGATTTCTTGCAATTTCAAGTAGGACTGTGCAAATAAACCAAATCCAAAAATTTGAACCGAACATAGCTCGATAAAAATGAATTTGAATCAATCTGAATTCAACATAAATATCGAAAGAATCTTGTTTTACGGTATTTCAGATATTAGTTTTACCCAAACCGAACCTAAACTCAAACAAATATCTGAACAAACAAACACAAAATCAAAATTCCAAAAAAAATTATACTGAACATCATTTCGATTCCTAATAGATATTCAAAATATAATAAGCTACTATTGAGTGCCTAAACAATTATTTACATGAATAATTAACTCAACTTCTAAAAAAACATTAACTCAAATACTTAGTTAAATATATATATTTTAGTATTGAGTCAACATTGATCTTTTTATGTTTCGATTTATTTATTATGTATGATTTTTGTTCACTTTGGTTTTCATAATATGTCTGATGTTGTTACATATAGTTCATGGAAAAATATCGATAAATGAATAACTTTGAATGATAACAATATGGTTTAAAAAGGCCATGTAAACAAATTTATTTAAAATTTTAGAAATATATTGAGTTCAGTCAAGTACGAATTAATATTTTTGGAATCGATAACCCGATTAATATCCAAAATTGAGCTATTCGGGTTCAACCAGATCTTGGACATGTAACTAAACCTGAACCAAATATGTCTAAATCCAAACTGAATCCGACCATAATTTTTATAATGAACGAATGAGACTAAAATTCATGAACTCGAAAACCCAATATTCAAATGAACCCGAACCGAAACCCGATTAAGACTCCAGTTGTCCAGCCCTAACTTTCACAGTATACGATGTACAAATAATTTTTTTTACAGAAATGAGATATATATAGTGAAACCTCTATAATTAATAATGTTGGGACTACACTAAAATTATAATTTTTATTAATTTATAGAGATTATTAATTTATCGATATAGTAATTGAACTAAAAATTCAATTTAGGACTATAAAATTATACTATTTTATAGAGATTTTTAGTGCATGCATACTAATTTAATAGAGTATTAATTTAAAGAGGTTATACTGTATATATAGTGAAACCTCTATAATTAATAATGTTGGGACTACACTAAAATTATAATATTTATTAATTTATAGAGACTATTAATTTATCGAAATAGTAATTGAACTAAAAGTTCAATTTAGAACTATAAAATTATACTATTTTATAGAGATTTTTAGTGCATGCATACTAATTTATAGAGTATTAATTTAAAGAGGTTATACTGTATATCTTACATAACAATTTTCTTGTATAGTTAGGAAAGATATACTGTGAAACAGATTTTATGGAAAGATATACATGAACAGATATCTTTCCTAATACAACCCACATAGGCTTTTAGAAATACAAATGATGAAAATTGCAATTTTAAAATCTTGAATGGTATAGCTGATGATAAATTAGTAACAATATGTTGTAGAATCAGTATGATGTAAAAAAATATATGCTCTTATATATGTATTTAATAATATGATTGGTAGAGTAGTAATGTATACAATTTATTTATTTTTAAGTAATATATCTATATATATATATATATATATATATTTATGTTTTTATTAAAAATAATGAATGACAAGTAGTTATATAAATTATATTATATTTTATATGTGTATATAATCCTTTAAAATTCAACATATTTATAGTTTGGATATTTCACTATAGGGGTACCATTCGGATACTTTTACACTTTGGGTCGAGTTCACATATTTATAGTTTGGATTCAGATAATTGTGTAAGTGATTTTCTAAATACTTTTATAAATATGTGAAACCCAACCCAAAGTGTAAAAAATCTTAAAATATCTGATTCGAATTCGAACGGTTATCTGGAATTCCACCCCTAATTATATGTGTGGTGAATGTGACAAAATTTTCATTTCGTTGAACATATTGTTGGATTACATAAAATTGTAAGTTTAATCAGCAACTGATAATAAATAGTATATGAAAATACTAATATATTTTATATATTAACCTATAAAACTTCAAAAAGAGATATATGTATGTTGTTGGCAAAGCTAGTGTTGTGAAGTAGATCTGATCAGTTATCACTTGATCCGTTTTGTGGCAAGTTGGCAATTTCTTTCTTAGAATATTGGAAAATTTAGGTTCTCTCGTTCAAGTTTATGAACTATCCACAGATACATGCATAACATAATAATTAAAATAAAATTTTAAATGTATTTTAAGTTAAAAATATTTTAATAATATAATTTTTGTATTACAAAAATAAAAACATATTTTAAAAAGAAGTATAACTAATTTTAACAGTACATTTTTGTATCATATAATATTTAGAAAATAGTAAAACTCAAATTTTCCTGAAATTTTTTATATAATATTTATAATTAAAACTTAGTGGATTTGGTGAATATCTGCGGTTTTAAATTGGTTAATCTGTATCTTTTATGCATCAAAACAATTTGACTCACATGCATTCTGAAGTAGATTAATTCATGGAAAACAGGGCGAGAGATCTGTGATTTGTGAATCAAATTCTCAACTTCAAGCTAAGTTAAGAAAAAAGGTATAATCGACAAGTCCCTTCGAGAACATCCGATTAAATTAGAAAGATACAAAAAAAAAATTAGCATAATCCTTGCGTAAAAATGACACGCACAAGTCAAAAATTAGTTCAAATTTTTAGCCTTTTATCAAAAGAAAGAAAAAAAGTATTAATCGACAAGGGAATCAGAGCGTAGATGCTATTGTGACCTAATCGAGTTTAGATGTTATGGACCTATGGTGGGACTTGCTACATGTGATTCTACTCTCATCGTAACTTAAAATTTGGTAAAATTTAGCGGCAGCTTTTCTGATTTAATTTTTTGCGACTCTACAAGAGGGTACAATAGAGATTTAAAGTAAAACCTAAGGATAATTCAGTCTAATAAACAAAATCAAATGGAAATATATGACGGGCTGAGAAAAGCAAACAAAAAAAAGTTTAATAAACAAGGAAAAAAAATTCTCATATCGAGTTCTGTGAGATCTGCTCTAAAAAGAAAAAAAAAACTGCTATCGGGAAGAAGAGGAGAATCGCTTACGTGGTGACATATATATATTTATATATTGAGTGTTGTGTAATATATATGCGCATCTTCTAACTTGGTTTGGTTTGGTTTCTCTGTGTGTTGTGTTTTTTTTTTTTTATCTCGTCTGTTTTAGGGGTAAAATGAGGATTAGGAAGAACATGAAGCTGTCTTCAATGCTTTTAGCGACAGCAGGTTACGGCGGAGATAAACTGGAGACATATGTCTGTCCTCTGAACCAATCTCCATGGGATGTGATTCCTCTGACTTCCTCCCTCGACGAAGACGATGGTGCCGCCGAGTTAACTAACCTAATTGACTCGTCGTGGTTTCTCCCTTCTCCGTCCTCTTCTTCTTCCCCCTCTTTCACTCACCAGGTAATTCAATACGTAATCTCATTTGTCTATCTTTTCATTTCGATTTAAATGTCCAGCATTATTAGGGTTTGTCTTGTTTTTTTTTTCTGCTGTTCGGGAAACTCCAAAGAACCCTAAAATTCTGGATTTTGAGAACTTGGGTCTCTTAGTTTGTCGATTAGGGTTAATGGGTTGTTATTATTTCGCTTCTTTGAACTATATTTCGTTCTCTGCTTCCGATTATTCTTTTTTTTCTCTTATGACAAAGTATCTCCATTTTCACTCAGTTCGCTGGAGAAGATAATGTGAGCTTGGGAGATTCTAATGGCGCTGCTCAAAGGTAACAATCCATTTCTCGAATCGTTGTCTACATTCTTGATTATTGTCTGCTTCGTTCACTGCTTCTGTGTTTTTAGGGTTTTCCTCGTTTTCCTTATTTCGATAGTCGGGTAATTTCATTTCGCCCGAGTCGGAGTCGGATCCTAAATGTTACCCGACCCGGTTACAATTTCTTCTTCTTTATTTAATTTTTTTTTTCATTCTTTTATCGTTTAGGTTTAATGGCTCCGTCGGTAATAATCACAGCCTTGTCTCCGACGAGCGTATTCATCTCATTGCGACGGAGAGATCGCCGGACGTTGAATCTTCAATGAATCGGAGCGACGACGGAAGTGGCAATAAATCATACCCCGTGGAGCTTCATTCGCCGGTTAAAACCTCCGGCGGCGACGACTACCAAGCGGCTGTGTCGGTGCCAGCGCCGCCTAAACGCGGACGGCCACGTGGTTCGGGCAAGAAAGCTCAAGCCTCCTCCACCACCGCCGCGGCCTCTAATAATAATCCGTATGAGTTTTACTATTACTCTGGTTTCGGCCCACGTTGGGGGAGAAAAAGAGGCGGCGGTTCCGGCGACGAGGAGAAGATAGTTCTGACTGATAATAAAAACGGTGGTTGCGAAGATAATAAAAAGAGTAACAGTAGTGGTGAAGAGAGTTACAAAACGGCGGCGTTTGAACATGGGAGTAGTAGCTTTGATGGGTTTGAGTTTATGGAAGAGGACTATGATGACGTAGTCGATCAAAGCATTGGTGGACATGCGAAGAAGTTGAAGAGTACAGTGAAGAAGATGAAGAGAGGGAGGAAGCCCGTTAAGGAAAGGTCTTTGAAATCCCTCATGTAATATATTCATGTTCTGTGAGGGATTTTCTGTCTTTTTCGCTTCATCCCTTTTTTTTTGTTGTCTGTTTTTTCTTTTGTCTGTAATCAGATTTCGTTTGTTTTGTTTAGTTAACATTTGCGGTAATGTTTTCAAATCTATGTTGTATTTGGTTAACTTGTCTTTTTTAGCTTTGAAAAAAATAGGGAGAATTGCATAAATACACATTATTTGGTACATTAATTCAGATTTACCTTAAAAAAAAAACATTTTCATAAATACCTAGGTCATTAACAGGTAAATGACCTAAATGTCCCCCTCCCACTATTATCTCACAGACGCCGTTTTTTTCATATGAGTTACAGCCGGAGCAGATTTGACATCATAAGCATTAACCGAAGCCCAATAAGCTCAATAAAAGATCATACGTATGATGACGTGTCATCCTTTCTCTCTGTCTATCTTCTCGAATTCGACATTTCTCTTCTCTCGGGGGAGAACAATGGCTTCGACGACTGATTTCTTGAAGCCTTTCCTCTCTCCCTTCTCCAATGGTGAGTCCTCTAAAAATTCACTGGGCGAGTTTTGTTTCCATAGATATGTGCTTGAGTGTGTTTGTGTGTGAATTGAATGAAGTGTATAACTTTGGGGGTTTCGAAACCTGATTTTTGAATCTTGAGAAAGTCGGAACTCCGAAGTGTGGTTTTACATCTCAATTACACAATTCAATTCGAGTTCCATTTGTTTTTTTAATTTCATGGAACAAGGCGCAACGAGGTAGTAGTAGTAGACATAACAACGTGGTATGGTTGTTGAATAGGAAGAACCCTAACAGGTCTCCTCTTCGTGTTAATGGATTGTTCGGAGGTGGGAAGAAGGACAATAACGAGGACAATGGACAATCAAAGGTACCAACGTTTTTTTACAAAAGTTCATGTCACCATTGATTAAAATCATATATAAGGTTTGTAAACTGATTTGTAAAGATTTATAAACTAATTTAATAAGGTAACTAAGTTAATGTATAAAAAATTTATAAAATGATTCATAAAGGTTTATAAGTTAATTTATAAGAGTTTATAAACTAATTTATAAAGGCTTATAAACTAATTTAAAGGTTAAGAAGTTGATTTATAAATATTTATAAATTTATTTTTATTCATTATTAAATTCTTATTATATGATTTATAAACTTTCATTGATTAACTCTTAGAAATGGCTTCATAAACCTTATAAAAGTTTAACAAACCCTTATATAACCTTTATGAATCTTAACGTACACTTACAAAGACTTTAAAGTTTAATAAATTTCTCAAACTTCAGATTCCACCAAACGAGATGCTGAGATTTTCTCATAAAGTCCCGTCATTCAAATTAATTGGAAGGGAGAGAGAATGTGTTTTTACTAGGTGCTCCGAATTAGACATTGCTGCTTCAAATATGATTGTTTTTATTAACTTTTATAAACATACATGAATAGTTTTATTAATCATTATAAATGTTTCGTTTTTGTAAAGACAAATATTGAAAGACTGATTATACCAAAGGGTGTAGTTCTTGGCATAGGTGATGAGCATTTGGAATCAATTAACGATGTTGGAACGAGATCAACTACGCTGTGATGAAGTCATGGTTTTGCTATGAACATGGACAACCTCAGAGGAGTCACTGTTGATGTTCAAAAGTTTGAGAATTTCAAATGGCTTAATGCATCTTATGTCCCCGTCCTCAAGCAGCTCCAAGACTCTGATACGCAAAGCTACTATTTCTTTGGACACAACGACGATTGACGCACACCGTTCAGGTTCAGAAAAACCCAAGTATCTCTCAATGCTCAATCATCTCAATGCTCAATTATACCTTTTTATAAGGCCTTATAAAAGAATAATGTTCTTTAATAAGCAAAGAAATAGTAGAAAATTGGTTATTTTGGTGAATATATTGTGGTTTCAGAGAAGAGTAATTTATAAACCATATAAATAGTTTGTATGGTCTTATAAACAGTTTATATAATTTACAAATGATATATAGACCTTTATATATTAGTTTATATATATTCTTATAGATGTTTTATTAACCCTTATAAGCAAGTTTAGGTGTTTTACCTTTTGAAATTCTACAAATCTTTATAAAAGATTCTATAAACCCTTATAAATAATCTAAAATATTCTTGTAAATGATTTATAGACCCTTATAATTTTTTTTTTATATATTCATATAAATGATTTTAAGACTTTATAGATGAAATACCTTTATAATTTTTTACAAATATTTATAAATGATTTTATAAAACCTTATAAAATTTGGTATATTATTATAAGTGATTTTATAAAAGTTTATAAATCATTTATAGGAATGTATATAAACTATTGATAAAGGTTTATAAATGATTTCTAAATCTTCATCCAGGATTTATAAACATTTATAAATTGTTTATAATCCTCATAGACTGATTTTATAAGACCATACAAACTCTCTTTGATTGTGCGAAATAAGATTGTCTATAGTAATGCCCTTGAGATATTTAGAACTCCTTTTACATTTTCATAAGGACTCAAAAAATTACAACAAAATCTTGTTGACTTTTCTGTAAGTACACGATCTCCGAGGGAGCGTGTGATAAGATTGTGAAAGTTTGGAACTCGGCGAACTGTAAGCTTAGGTCGAATCTTGCTGGTCACACTGGGTATATATTAGCACGGTGGCTCCTGATGGTTTGTTATACGCGAGTGGAGGGAAAGATGGTGTGGTTTTGCCGTGAGATTTGGCTGAGGGGAAGAAGCTTTACTCTCTTAAAGCTAACTCTGTGATTCATGCGCTTTGCTTTAACCCTAATAGGTACTGACTCTGTGCTGCGACTGAGCAGGGTATTAAGATTTGGGATCTTGAGAGCAAGAGTGTGAAACTTTTTATTTTAGTTTGATATTTTACCTTATAAATAATAATAATTCTTATGAATATTGTTTATATATATATATATATATTATTTCACATTATTTGATCTACCTGATATGCATTTTTCATGTACGATCGGTTTGATCCATATGATCTGCGATGCTTGATCTGATTTTATCATTCAAAGCCAATTATCCATCTTTCTCCCCCTCTCCCACAAAATTGATTTGTTTTACTAATTTATTTTATATTTTAAATAAAATAATAAAAATAAAAAAGGCGGAATCATGGACTTCAACCAAAAAATTCATAGAAAAAAAAAGTAGGAAACCATATATTAATAAGTTCAGAAAATTAAATTTAAAAAAATGAAGAATTAGTTTACTGATTTGATTTTATAAAAAAGTAATTGGACTAAATTTGGGCCTATCGTTTAGTAGCCAAGTAGCCAACATATATATAGAAAAAAAAAAGAGCCTCTTGGCTCTTCAAACAAAGAACGGTGTCGTTCAGGTGTTTTTGCTAACAAGTTCAAAGGCTATGTTCATTGGTTATTCACCAACTCAGAAGGGGTATAAGTGCTATGATCCAGAGTGAAAAAGAGTTCTGGTCTCAAGGGAAGTTAAGTTTGTGGAATCAGAGGGGTATTATGAGGAGAAAAGTTGGGAAAACCTTCAAGACCTCTCAGAAAGACCTTCAGATAGGACAAACAACTTGAGAATCATTCTGGATAGTCTTGGCATAAGTCAGCCTCTGAGCAGTGAGGTGCCAAAGACTTCTTCCACACCGCCATGTGCTGAAAATGATGAAGAAGCAACACCACTTGTTGAAACAATCCATCTTGATCTTGAGAGGCTATGAAATTGAATCACAACCAAAAGAAGGAGACAACTTTACAACAAAAACGTACATGTCCGTTTAGTCCACAACATACACGAGCTTGTACGTTTATGACCATGTCATTTTATAAAAATATCTTACACTATTTTGCACATTATATTCCCATTGCGGTATGTATTAAAAATCCAAATGTGGAAACACAATTGGATATGTTTCTATACAGTAGAATACAATTGGATGTACTTAGACCGATATTTATATTACCACAATTTTTCTAATGTAAAAAGCTTCTTATAAACAACATTATAACACCCACAATAGATATAATTTTTTTCTTACTTTTTCTTTGGTAAATCTGAATTAGTGTATCAAATAATGTGTATTTATGCAATTCTCCCAAAAATATTCTCTTCAGAAATTTTAAAATCTAATGTCTTTTTGTTTTTAATAACCAAACGTATCTTTAAAAACAATCTTTTAAAAAGATTATTAGTTGTTCAACCTCTCCATGAACCACGATAGATTTTTATCAGTGTCCAAACCCTAAACCATTTAGATAATCGTATTTCCTCAAACACAAATAGACATAATTTCTTAATTTTAGTCCCTTGAACTGTAGTACTTGTATTGTACAAAAACACTGAAATTTGTTTTAAAGCATAAAGAATTTTCCTCCTGCGTGTTTACATTAATTGTTTTACATCTTTACTTTTAGAGTATTTTATTATTTCAAAAATATTTTTGTATGCATTGATAATTTAATATCATTTTTATCTTCACATTTTCCTTTTTTCTGTAAAATTGTGATATTAATTATCTACATTTGATTTTATAGCTTAATTTTGTGTTTGTTAATTAGCTAATGTTATTTGCTCGACATACATATACAAACAGTAGTAATCATTTTATTTTATATAATTTTAATTTTAAGAGAATAATAAAACAAAAAAAAGTTGTAGGACCGTCTTTCATTTAGATTTTTTTATTACAATATAAATCAATGCATTCTAAATATTTAAGATAAAGATATAACAAAATGCAATGCATATCTTTTGTATTCAAAAATCTATTATAATAAAGTTGACAAATCTGCCTATACAAGAGGCCACGTCCCTTTTTTTGATAGGGGGGTTTCTTGACACTTGTCAACCTCTGAGTGGCTGTAATTTTTTCCAAAAGAATCATGCAATTCAGAAACGTAATGGGCTCCTTAAGAAACTTCAAGCCTAACCCGAGTGTTAAACTTATTATCAAATCCAGTAAAATATTGAGAAAATTGGCTAATCGGGCCACTTTGAGGATGCCTTTGTCTCAATATACCTTTACCCATTTAAGTTTTGTCTCAATATACCTTTCCCCAATTATATACAAAACTAACCCTATATTTATTAAATTTTTTTTTTTTTTTTTAATAACCTTAAGTCATCTCTCCCTCGTTCTCCCCGACAAACGAAGGAGAAACC